AAAAAATAATTAGGAAATTATTTTAGACATCTAATTCTTAATTTTTGTCGCTGATAAATATGTAGATACATCACTTTTAACGACAAACCTACTAATAAAAATTGCGAAAAACAAATCATGTTTATTCTCAAAGAGACAATTATTGAGAACAATCCAATAACTATTAATCTGGGATATAGATCTTAACAAAACAAAAGTTGGATAAAAGATTTGTTGATTTATGATATAAAATACAGTGTTCCATTTGAAATAGCAAAGAAAAATATAATATATAGTTTTGACTCATCCTGTATATAATACAAAAAAAATAATATAAAGAAAATTTAATCATATAAATAATTTAGGAATTTAGCATATTTTTATATAATTATATGAAGAGAACATTACCTTAAATTAGTTCCAGTAAAAAACTTCCATATTACTTATTTTTAACTTAGAAAGGGCTTTAAATATATATTTTATTATATAAACAAAAAAATTTAATCCAAAAATGGTCAAAATGAACTCTATACGATTACGACATTATAGTATTTTCTGGAATGACAATTTTTTGACAAATTCACCAAGAAAAAATAAAAAATATAGCTTTTCTTTTGACAAACTATACAACTCTAAAGTAAATATGTATTTAAATCTACGAATCATCCTGTATATCTATAAAAATACCTCCCTGTCAAATTTACGCTACTTTTGCATGCAAGCATACCTATTTTACAAAAATATGATTTGAGTGAAAATATAAAATAGGAAATCTGATATGAAGCTTTATCTAAACACAGGGTTGACTGTAGATAAACAATATTTTACGTTATTAATTAAGAAAAATTATAAAATACACAATATATCTGACAGTTCCAAAAAAGCAAAGTAAGAAATGAAACATAATTTATAGCATAAAATCAGTATTTTTAAAACTTTTAAGTCTACTGGCCATTATCATTTAATCTATCTATCAATCTATCAAATTTAATGTTTATTATTAAACTTATCTCAGACTCTCTATGAGGTAAAACTCTAAGATAAAAACTCTAAAAACCAAGAGTGATTTAAAACAAATTTATATGAATTTAGAAATAAATATGAACAGTATTTACTCACCTGTAATACAGATGCTTTTTGTTTAATTAAATATGTTTTAAAATATTATCCAGCAGGTACAAAATACACATTACACATCACGTAAACACAACACATAAAACTCATAAAATAATAGTTTGCAATCCAAATATTCAAAAATACTGTTTCGTTTCTTCGTGAGGGACAAAAAAATTGATTTTTTTAATTATTTAGATATGCATTAAGGTATATTTCAACTCAAAAGCTTATAAATAATTATTTTTTAAGACATAATCTAAACGAAACGAAATCAGAGGCCCGATTCTGTAAACACTTCTCTTGTCTAGTGACTCATCAATCGTATACAAATAGCATAGGCTAGACAGGAAATTTCTTGCCACGGCAGACAGAATCCCACCGCAGAAGTCGAGAAAGATAAACAAAACTGCCGAATTTAGAAACGAATATGACTTTTTTTCCTTTTTTCTTGGCACAGTTGAAACAAACAAGGATAAAGCTATTTTCGTAAAACATGCGTGAAACGTGCTAATAAGTAGCCCAATAGGATGTGACCTCGCGCCCTTCCATTTTTGAACGATGGGCGGGTTTAACGGATTCCCCTCAAAGAAAATCGTAGGGGAATACAAAAATGCAGAACGGGCAAGGCGCCATCTAGAAGACAGGATTTTACTAAGCCCTCATTGTATATCTATTTATACATAATCAAGGGTATTATATATAAGCCAGAAACACAGACTAATAGTTCTAAAACAAAAGCAAATGTCCATATTTCCGTATACCTTGATTCACTGTGCCCCCGTAAATTTTTTTTATCTAAAACCCCGCCCTGGTAGCTATTACACATCTCTATATTTATAATATATCCAGATTATTTTCCGAAAATAAAACTATTAAACCATCATCAATACTAAAATTATTATCCATTTATTTTATAAGTTTTTTTACAAGAATGTAATGTTTTTTTCGAAAATCATCAGTGTTTTGTCACACCAGAGTTAGCAGACCTTTGAGGGTTGTAAATAGAAAATATGCCCCTACGTATTTGCGTTCCTATTTAAAAAACGATTTGGTAATTTGTGCAATATTCAGTCTGCCCTATCGTAACGCTACAGAATTGAATGTCAATGCGCTAAATCCCGCGTCGGATGAGGACCTCGAACTAAATTCAAAATAAAGTATAACAGAGTAAAATTTATGAGGGAACTGTACTACGCGCAATGTTATAAGGGGGTGAGGGTGACGTAGTCTTCTTTGTGCAGGGGTGAGTTGCATCCCTATCGTGACGGTCTTACCAGCGAAAGAATTGGGTCAGTGGCGTTGCCAAAAAAGTAGTCGGTCGGGTTGGATCATTAATTTCTAGACGAATAAGTATTGTTTTCTATTAAACTAAGCCAAGTTATGAAATGTTTCCTGGAGGTGTATTGAAAATTTATAAAATACCTTGAATATGACTTACTTACATTTTATCATAAATATAATATTATCAAGCTGGTATTTTTATGATATATTTAACTGTTTTTGAACTAAATATTTACGATTTTTAATTTTTATTTCGTACTGGCCAAATTTTATTATTGAATGTTAGAAATTACTAGGAAAAGTCGACACATCTCTTTAAAATACAACATTCACTGGTCCAATGCGTAATTACTAGCATTTCCTAGTGAATGTTAACAATCACTGAATTTTCAACTTTCACTGTAACATAGGTAATCCGTTATGGGTCAAAGGGCGTTTTTATGGTAATATGATTTCCATTTCATTCTTTGATAGATGGTTTTTATTAATTTGGATTAACGTCATTTAATTTTGATTATTGAAATTTTGAGAAAAACGCATTCTTCATAAAAAATTTTGCTTCTTCTAATATGCTTAATACCGTTTATACTTTTCCAAATTTTCATACCATTTTAGAGAAAAATAAGAAAAACATAAAAATATAGCTGAATTTTTGCTGTATAATAATATAGCTGAAGTCCTAAAAATCAAAATGCGTTTCTATGGTAAGATCAATTCGATTTCATTCTTTGATAGATGGTTATTATCAATTTTAATTAATGTCATAGTCAAAGAATATACCAAGAAAAAGAAAGAAAAGTATCTTATTAAACAATGGTTCTATGTTAGTGGCGCCATCTATTGTGAGGGTCTGAATAATTTAAATACGCTTATTTATATAATTTCACTTGAAATTATCATTTTAAATATGAAAACCATCTTGAAAGTTATTTTTTACATAATATTAACAAATCTAATGCAAAGCTTTACTATGTGTTGTGTAAAAAATAAAATTTAATAGTAGAATTTACCTACAAAAAATAGAAGTCAAATATATAAACATCGTTTATTATAATAAAACAAGACACGCCCTGACACCACAACATAATACGCCCAAAGTTTTGTAAATGGAGTAAATATAAATAGATACATAAATGATGTGGTTAAGTTAGGTTGTAGCTGTAAAAAGTAAAAGACTTACATTATATGTTAGAGCCACAAACAAAAAGAATTGTCTAATTAAAACACATATAATAAAAATTACTTTGAAAATAGTTTTGATAATCATTTGATAATTGTTGATAAAATGATTGGCGTTATGATCTAACCTAACCTAACAACAATTTTTTTTTGAGATTTTGACAACAGTATGACAATGGCCGTCGGAAACTATGGAAACTACAAAAAAATCTGATTTAACGCCATCTGGTAATAACCAGTGGCAACTTTCTAACCTAAAAATTAATTGCACTGCCACCTAGCGACAGGGTCTGGAACTATTTTATTTGAAATTTCCGTGGAAACGGTGGAACCGCTTTTGCTATTTCACTTTCCCGCCCTTGGTCATAGTCTTTGCTGTTGTTAAAGTATCACATTTTCCAATAACTACTATCGTCCTTGCCGTAAGTTTGAACTAAATACAGTTTGTGCTTCTTTGACATTTTAAAACAGCAAAAAGAATATAAAGTTATCTAAAATTCTAACCATTTATGAAAGAATTGAAAACGAAATTACATTACCATAGGAAAGCGTTTTAATTTTTAGAACTATATTTTTATGTTTTCTTTAAATTTCTCTAACGGTTTCGAATATTTTTAATTGAGTTTAATTAAAAAATGGATTCCAAAGCAACTGTAAAAGATAAATTAATGAAATTTTCAGCATTTATAGTCAAATATCTATATTTTGATATAATATTAAAAACTTCAAATTATTTATTTACTATCCTATTGTTAATTAACTTTTATATAAACAAATAAAAAATTCAGCGACTTCTCGGTCAAAAAACTATTTATTTTTTCATTGGTTACACGCGATAAACATTTAAGTTCAAGATTCCGAAAGAAAATTTCACTGCTCGCTATTAATTTAAACAACCTATCAGTAATTGAATATTTACAAAGTGCATGGTAAAAATACATTTTTTTAACTACTACTTTCTACAAGTTTGCATAAAAAAGTTCTCCAATTATTATACGCAAATTTACATGAAAAGTACAGGCTATTATGTAGAATCATAAAATAAAATGTAAAAATTAGTCCAAATTGTAAGTTTACAATGTATTAAGTTTCCTCAACCAATTATATTAATGTATGAGCTCACGTGCTTGATTACGCAACTATAGACCAAGCGATGAAGCCACGTCACGTCCACTGTCTATAGAGACTGAACTGTATTAGCTGCGACATGTTCTTTTGGGTGATACAACTACACCATTTACCATATATTGAAAAAATCTACATTTTTGAATTAATAATCTAGTGAAAATGGACGACAGGTAAGTTGTTATTAATAAATTTAAAACAAAATGTTTAAAACGCTGCAACCAAAGATCATTATTTCATATTCTGACATATGTACGTCACATCAATAAATTATTCTATTCTATTCTATTCTATTCTATTCTATTCTGTTCTATTCTGTTCTATTCTGTTCTGTTCTGTTCTGTTCTGTTCTGTTCTGTTCTGTTCTGTTCTGTTCTGTTCCGTTCCGTTCCGTTCCGTTCCGTTCCGTTCCGTTCCGTTCCGTTCCGTTCCGTTCCGTTCCGTTCCGTTCCGTTCCGTTCCGTTCCGTTCCGTTCCGTTCCGTTCCGTTCCGTTCCGTTCGGTTCTGTTCGGTTCTGTTCTGTTCTGTTCTGTTCTGTTCTGTTCTGTTTCGTTCTGTTCTGTTCTGTTCTGTTCTGTTCTGTTCTGTTCTGTTCTGTTCTGTTCTGTTCTGTTCTGTTCTGTTCTGTTCTGTTCTGTTCTGTTCTGTTCTGTTCTGTTCTGTTCTGTTCTGTTCTGTTCTGTTCTGTTCTGTTCTGTTCTGTTCTGTTCTGTTCTGTTCTGTTCTGTTCTGTTCTGTTCTGTTCTGTTCTGTTCTGTTCTGTTCTGTTCTGTTCTGTTCTGTTCTGTTCTGTTCTGTTCTGTTCTGTTCTGTTCTGTTCTGTTCTGTTCTGTTCTGTTTCGTTCTGTTCTGTTCTGTTCTGTTCTGTTCTGTTCTGTTCTGTTCTGTTCTGTTCTGTTTCGTTCTGTTCTGTTCTGTTTCGTTCTGTTCTGTTCTGTTTCGTTCTGTTCTGTTCTATTTCGTTCTGTTCTGTTTCGTTCTGTTCTGTTTCGTTCTGTTCTGTTTCGTTCTGTTCTGTTCTGTTCTGTTCTGTTCCGTTCTAATCTGTTCTATTCTATTCCTTTCTATTCCATTCTATTCCACTCTATTCCATTCTATTCCATTCTATTCCATTCTATTCCATTCTATTCCGTTCTATTCCGTTCTATTCCGTTCTATTCCGTTCTATTCCGTTCTATTCCATTCTATTCCATTCTATTCCATTCTATTCCACTACTCTACTCTACTCTACTCTACTCTATTCGATTCTATTCGATTCTATTCGATTCGATTCGATTCGATTCGATTCCATTCGATTCCATTCGATTCCATTCGATTCGATTCCATTCCATTCCATTCCATTCCATTCCATTCCATTCCATTCCATTCCATTCCATTCCATTCCATTCCATTCCATTCCATTCCATTCCATTCCATTCCATTCCATTCCATTCCATTCCATTCTATTCTATTCTATTCTATTCTATTCTATTCTATTCTATTCTATTCTATTCGATTCTATTCCATTCTATTCCATTCTATTCTATTCCATTCTATTCCATTCTATTCCATTCTATGCCATTCTATGCCATTCTATTCCATTCTATTCCATTCTATTCCATCGATTCGATTCGATTCGATTCGATTCGATTCGATTCGATTCGATTCGATTCGATTCGATTCGATTCGATTCGATTCGATTCGATTCGATTCCATTCCATTCCATTCCATTCCATTCCATTCCATTCCATTCCATTCCATTCCATTCCATTCCATTCCATTCCATTCCATTCCATTCCATTCCATTCCATTCCATTCCATTCCATTCTATTCTATTCTATTCTATTCTATTCTATTCTATTCTATTCGATTCTATTCCATTCTATTCCATTCTATTCTATTCCATTCTATTCCATTCTATTCCATTCTATGCCATTCTATGCCATTCTATTCCATTCTATTCCATTCTATTCCATTCTATTCCATTCTATTCCATTCTATTCCATTCTATTCCATTCTATTCCATTCTATTCCATTCTATTCCATTCTATACCTGGGGTGCCGGGCCCCCCAGGTACTGCTGGGCACCACCCAGAGAAATCCTGAATTATGACTCTTGGCTACGTATTAATTTTTATTTGCTTGTGATGCAGTAAAAATGACGTTTCCTAGTTTTGTTTAGTTAACATTATTTTGTTGTGTTCAAAAAATGTGTTAATTTTTATTTTTTTTAGAAAATTTGTAGGTATTTAAGTAATCTAGAGAAACACGGTTTGATAACCAAGTCTATGAAATTTATTGATAAAGAAATTCATGTAAACGTTTTATTCAAAAAACGTGTTTCTAAGAATTATTTTTCATTTTTAAAAAACAAAAGCCCTAGGCCCCCACTGGGCTTAACCCCAGCCCCGCCAGGCCCACCCCAGGATAAATTTCTAGTTACGCTAATGTTATTAAATATTTTTTAATGAGAGTTATCTACCTTAACATTGGATTCAGTCCTACATTTACTATGCGCTGATGCGTTGATTTGATTCATCCATGCGCGCATAGTGAGTATTGTTGATGCGGTTTGTTCATGCGATTTGTTAGTTCGTTTCGAAATTTGTCTATTATGTTATGTAATGTTTCTATTGACGGTTCGCCAAAAAACCGACGTTTCATCAAATCGCCGCACAACCCATCGCATTGACGCATTTGCGCATCAAATTGAGGTATTGACGACCCACATCGACAAACCGCATCAGCGCATATGAGTACGAGCGTCTATAAACATTAAAGGAATTTTCCTAGAACTATACAATTTTAAAATTATTTGACAAATGCCATATAAAGTCCTGTTTTATTTTTAGGCTGTTATTATTCTATGATCAAAAACCCAGTTTGAGTTGCATCAAATCACAATCATAGAAAATACCTGTCACAATATAGAACATTTTAATGAAAGGATTCTATATTAGTTCATAATATTTTGGAGTATAGATTAAATTAACAAATCTGGCTGTTTACAGGATCAATCATAATTTTTTCCTCTATCTCTCTAATCTACTTTTTTTACTAAAAGAAATAAATGGCTGTTTTAAAAACCTTCGGCGCCGGATTTTTTGTTTTTCATTTAATTAAAAAAATAAAATAAAATGTATTTATTTCCTGATGTCGTGGCGGATGCGCCAGGCTTCAACTAGTACCTGATAATTTCCTAATAGGTATCTTCTTCTAGGTCTCTCAATTCCTCGTGGATACCATGCTGTAGTTTTTGTGGTCCATCTGTCGTCTGTCCTTCTTGCCAGGTATCCTGCCCATTGCCACTTGAGGGATTTGACTCTGTGGATGACATCTATTACCTGGGTCTTCCGTCTTATCCACTCTATTATTTTAATTTCTTTTACTATCCACTTTATTCTTTTCTTGGTTATGCCCGGCATACTTTGCTCCATCGAGCGTTGTGCGGCCTGCAGTCTCCTTATGATGTCCGTTTTAAGTGTCCAGGTTTCGCATGCATAGGTCTTGACTGGTAGTACACATTGCTCGAATGTTTTTTCTTTAGATAGAGTGGCATTCTAGATTTGAATTTGATTGAGTTTCTTCCATAAGTATATATCGGGTGCGTCTCAAAAGTGGCTCACCCCTAAAACTTTTTTGGTTTTTTTAGAGAAAAAATCGCGTTTTGGTGTATGTATTTGACCTAAATTAGGATTGACTGACATATTCAATTGTTTTTGGTCACTTCCTGTTTCACCGGAAATGACTACAACTTTTGATTTTTAAATGCCACTCGGAATTTTGTTACTTTATTTGATAGAAAATAACACTCTGAATAGAATGACATATCATATATGTCAATTTATGACATTTTTGAATATGGTTTATTTGAAATTGCAGCTTGCGGTTCAGAACGAAAAGTTGGCTCGAAGTGTGTGGTACCAAATTATTCGTAAAAAAATACTTTTTCCAAATATGCTAATGAGCCACCCTCGTTCCATTTGAAAAAATTGAGATATGATTAAAAATACGATTTGGGCATTTTTAACCGGCCAGGTCAAGACACGAATAACATTAGACGATCAAATATGTTTTTCCAAGGCTCCTTGATTAAAAATTAGTGTTTTTAAGACAGCCATGGCACCTAAGATTGAAATTTAAAAGTCAATTTTGTTTTAAGCAAAAATGTCAAAAGTTGACATATGGCTGTGTCATTCTATTCAGAGTCTAATTTTCTATCGAATAAAGTAAAAAAATACTGAGTGTGCCATTTAAAAATCAAAAGTTGTAGCCATTTCCGGTGAAACAGGAAGTGACCGAAAAGAATTGAATACGTCAATCAATCCTAATTTATGTCATATACTAACATATCAAATCTCGTTTTTTTATCTGAAAAAATAAAAAGTTATAGGTGTGAGCTACCTTTGCGACGCACCCGGTATAATAAGAAAATATAGGAAATTTTCATTGCATATTTTGTGTAGAACCATATTACAGGTATTATGCTAGTATTATTATTATTAATCAAATTTCTCAAAGTGTTACCAAACATAAATATAGTAGTAATATTCTGTAATTAAATACTTCAGTAAATTAAAGGCCAAAATTAAATTCTGTGCTACTAAAGAGTGTAAAACATGAGTTATTAAAAAAAAACACCACTCTATCTAAAAAGTTTACTACTCTCGAAATTTGTATGTTACCAACTTTTTTAGGGTGTATCTAGTTTATATTCCGTGCGGAAACTCCGTACGAGTTATTATATACAAGAAAGTTTGTTTGAAGTTCTGATGTGTTAAATGAAAATATCAAAAATTATTCCATTTTACAAACTTGTGATTTTAAATAGCAATATAAGTTCAGAAGTTGATTAGTTACTTTTAAATGCACAAAAGGGCATTAATTTTAGCTTTTCAATTTTATATTTTCAACATCGCAATTTTTAATTAATCAAACATAAAGAACTTTAAAAAAATATTTTTTTGTTTGGATAATTAATTTTACTCTTAACTTATTTAGTCGTCTTTAATGTAGTTATTATAGTTTAAATAAAAAAAGCGTTTGCTTTAAATATATGTGATAACTAACTAGCATATATTGATAATGTTACGAATTTTATTGGTTCTTAATTTAAACACACAATAAAAACAATAATTATCCATAATATGTAACTGAAAACAACAATATACGACTTAATTATAACAGAACGATATCATAATAAAGACTAAATATCGATTTCGACTATTTTTGTTCGATTTATTTCCCATTTTCTGTTTATTAATTTAAAAAATTTATTATCCGATAGTGCCATGTACTATATGTAGAATAAAAAGAATAGAAATAAGGTCAGTAACCCAATTAACGGCAGGTTTTTAATTTCGCCATCCGCGATTTTTGGTTTGGTTAGGTAAAAAAACAGTACATTACAATTTTGTAGATTCATATCAGAGAAAACAACCTTTGTTGAATTATTTTGCCGGTAAAAATAACGTGAAAAGCGCGGTTTTCAATGTAAGATTGTTTCTATTTAATCACCTTTAAAATTCGGTTTAGTGACATGAAGGTACCCTCTGGTAAGTTCGCAACATTACTGTATAATAGTTTTAATGAAAATATGGGAAACTTATCCTCAATCAATAACAGATCTCTTTAACGCCAGTGTGAAAAAATCTTCCACTGCCGTTGTTAGGAACTAAACGGAATTAAATGAAAAAAAAATCCAAGAAAATTGATTTGGCTTTATTTATCAAGAAGATCGTGTCCTCGATATGCGTCTTTGTGTTGTATGCAATCGTTACATTCACGAGAAATGTGAAGGATTATCTAACGGGTATAACTTTTCACTTGTTAATTTTGAATATGTATGTTAGTTTATACTAACTTGTGTTATTGAATTTTTGAGATGAGTAGGTATTATATCCGTTTTTTTATTCTGAAATTTGAGAAAAACAAAACTTTTATAGCCTTCTGGTGTGTTTTTCTATTATCCGATAGTACATGGCGTAGAATAAAAAGAATAGAAATAAGGTCAGTAACCCAATTAACGGCAGGTTTTTAATTTCGCCATCCGCGATTTTTGGTTTGGTTAGGTAAAAAAACAGTACATTACAATTTTGTAGATTCATATCAGAGAAAACAACCTTGGTTGAATTATTTTGCCGGTAAAAATAACGTGAAAAGCGCGGTTTTCAATGTAAGATTGTTTCTATTTAATCACCTTTAAAATTCGGTTTAGTTACATGAAGGTACCCTCTGGTAAGTTCGCAACATTACTGTATAATAGTTTTAATGAAAATATGGGAAACTTATCCTCAATCAATAACAGATCTCTTTAACGCCAGTGTGAAAAAATCTTCCACTGCCGTTGTTAGGAACTAAACGGAATTAAATGAAAAAAAAAATCCAAGAAAATTGATTTGGCTTTATTTATCAAGAAGATCGTGTCCTCGATATGCGTCTTTGTGTTGTATGCAATCGTTACATTCACGAGAAATGTGAAGGATTATCTAACGGGTATAACTTTTCACTTGTTAATTTTGAATATGTATGTTAGTTTATACTAACTTGGGATAATGTGTTCTTAATAGCTCCAATTTCAACCGAATATATTTTTTTCACCAATTTAAATTCTTAAAGAAAACAATCCAAAATTAATTAACCTTGCCTTCTAGAGAAAATAATTACGAAAATTGAAATTATTTTGAAGAATATTTAAGAGACTACGGCGCCGGCGCGGCGGGCCAAACTTTAATATGACGTTAATTGACCCACTTTACTTAATTGATGACCCAACTGTGCCACTCGCAGGTTTTGACCTCACCAGAAAACTAGGCACAATGCTCAACCGAATTCGAACCAACCATGGCAGATCCTTGTGTTAATAGACTTGGTTCATTTCAGCCAATTTTTAAACTTTTGATATCAGTGCTCGGTATGGCAGAAATCAGAACTTTCCGACTCTGTTATTCATGCAGTCCCGGTTACCGTTCATGTTGATCTCGTTGAAGTAATGTTAAAATCGTGGCTTTGTCATATATTCGAGTATTTTAGTTTTTACTAATGTAGTTATTGAAACTATAAAATTCTCAGGTACAATGTATGTGTGATGTAACGCTGTTTCGGATAGTAAAAATTATGTGAAAAAGATACCAAACTGAGGGACGCGTTATGTTGTGAGAATTTCAAATCATAATAAAATTGCAGAAAAAATATCAACACTAAAAAGAGAGCATAAATTGTGTGGTTGTTGGATGAGAAACACTCAATGCAACTCTCCCGGTACAACATCTTACAATTTCACAGCTTTATCCGATTTGAACAAAAGTAAAAATGATTCAGGTAGTCCGATGAAAGAAGTGAGTGAAGAGAGAAGTGTCCATTACAAGACATAATCAAAAATTTAAATAGGCGTATACTATGACTTATTCTAAAATTATAATTATGTAGTTACCTTTCAAAAATTTCGTTACAGTCCAGATAGCCCTAGTTATGTTCCAACTAGCAAAACCTGTGTTATTACTAATCTGTTTATTAGGCTGGTTTATTTATTGGAAGTTACATTTTTTAGTT